AGTTTACAAACCCGGAACGCGATCTCTGAGCTCAGCACAAGCTTACTCTTCTGGGACTCTGTGAGGCTCCAAGGCAACATTAGAGGATCTCTGGGTGACAGAAATCACTCACAGCTTGGACAAGAAGCCACTTGGACTGAGGGGAGAGAAACGCTGCTGTTCCCGATGATGACACTGAATCTATAAATAGCCCCATGCCAGGTGAGTACTGACACCTGTGTGACCTCACCTGGGCCTGACGTTCTCGTTCTCAAGAGCTGGAATGTTTCAGTTCCTGGCTCACCCCAGGGACTGTCCCTCCTCCTCCTGGCACTAAGGACAGTAGAGGTAGGGATGACTTCACCGCTGAGCCTGTAGGGAAGGTGGACCTTTTCTCTGGCTTGGACAGGAAGGAGTGATGATGTTTCGTTTTCAAAAGAGAGTAGAAGGGTGGATACCAGCCTGAGTTAAAGAGGCTGGGCTCTAGTTTCTGGATCCGGAAAATGGGGGCATTGCAGCATCGATGGCTCTCAGTGCTATCTGATGATGTCACAGTCAACCTGGCCTTTAAGGCTTTCTGTGACGGGATCTCCACCAATCTGTCTGCTCTTAATCTACAGCCCAGCCTTTCCTCAAGAGTCTGGACGGTTCCCAGCGCTGGGTTGCCTTTGATCCATTCCTCATCTAGCTGCTTTCTCAACATCTCAAAAACATTCCTCTAGGCTAACTTGTCCTGCTACCCTTCCCCTGAATTCCACTGCCCTTGGCGAACCCCTCACTTTCTATTTTGCTGTGTCATCTGTCCAAGGCTGTCTTTCTGACCCTCTCCAAATACCTGTTCCTTGATGCAGTGAGAAGGGTTTGATAGGCAATAAACCCCAGCCTTGGGATCAAACCATCCCCGCTCCATCACTACATCCTTGGGCAAGTCACTTACTCTATAGATAGGGACCTCAATTCCCTATCTATAAAATGGGTCTGCCTTTTGGGTGTGGTGGAGAGTAGGCAAACTAAGGTTGGGGAAATGCTTTGAGACTAGAAGTGGCTGAAGGAGTGCAGGCCGCTCACCCCTGGGGTGTGGTATCTCATGCTTCATTGTGGGTGGAATAAACTGAGGTCCCAGGAACAGGCTTGAGGAACAACACTAATAAATCCTAACAGTGTAGACAAGTCTTCCAGTAAAACCTGAAGATTCAGAGTCTTATGGAATCTCCTCATTTTTAACTGTTGAAGACCAATTTTAAAACAAAATGTGGTTCTATGAAGATGCTACATGTTTCAGAGCAGAACTGAGCATCACGGGGTTTTCTTGGCTGTCATATTTCTGACAGCAGACCATTTGGCTTTTCTTCCATGGTACTGTCAGATGGCTTTGAATCACCAACATTTTGCTTAGCTGCTGATTACAAATTCCTTGTGCTAGCCAAGCTCCTTTGAGGGACAATGACTCGTTGTCACAGAGTTGATTCTGAGTGCTCAACCAGTGAGCCACCAGGAATAACACTACTCCAGTTTACTGCCACTGGGTCGATTCCAATGCACAGTGAGCCTACATCTAAGACAGAGTAGAACTGCCCGATAGGGGTTCAGAGACTCTAAATCTTTACAGGAGCACACAGCTTCATTGTTTCCCTTCAGAGTGGCTGGGATTTTGAACTGCCAACTTTGCAGTTAGCAGCCCCATGCTTAGCCCACAATGCTACCAGGGTGGGACCAAAAACCACCTTGTTATAGCTGAGGAGGCTGTGTGAACTGCAGGCCTGGAATTGGCCACAGGGAACCTTAGTATCGTTTTAATTGATGTGAATATCACATAACAAGAAATGTAGATGGCAGCTATCAATCAATCCATATTTGAGCCCATTCCAAAGAAAGGTGATCCAACAGAATACAGAACTCATTAAACAATATCATTAAAAGCAGAGAATGCCAGAAAAATGTTTACTTGTGCTTCATTGACTATGCAAAGGCATTAGACTGTGGATTATAGCAAACTATGGATAACATTGCAAATACTGGGCATCCCAGAACACTTAATTGTGCTCATGAGGAACCTGTACATAGACAAAGAGGAGGCAGTTGTTAGAACAGAACAGGGGGATACTGAATGGTTTAAAATCGGGGAAGGTGTGCACCAGGGTTGTATCCTTTCACCATATTTATTCCATCTGTATGCTGAGCAAATAATTTGAGAAGCTGAACTGCCTGAAGAAGAGCGTGATATTACGATTAGAGGAAGTCATTAACAGCTTGTGACGTGCTTATGATACAATTCTGCTTGCTAAAGGCAAGGAGGACTTGAAATATTGTATGAAATATAGTCTTTGGTATGGACTGCAGCTCAATTGAATGAAAATAAAAATCGTCACAACTGGACCAATTAACATCATGATAAATGAAGAAAAAATTAAAGTCGTTAAAGACTTCATTTTGCTTGAATCCACAATTACTCCATGCTCACGAAAACAGCAGTTAAGAAATCAATGACTTACTGCATTAGGCAAATCTACTGCAAAAGGACACCTTAAAGTGTGCAAGAGCAAAGATGTCAGTTTAAGGTCTAAGGTGTTCCTGACCTAAGTCATGATATTTTCAGTCACCTCATATGAATGTGAAAGCTGACATCATGTGGTAAAGTGGAGGGTCAGTGAATAAGAGGAAGATCCCCAACGACATGGACTGACACAGTCGCAGCAACATAAGGACAATTGTGAGGACATCACAGGACTGGGCAGTGTTGTTTTCTGTTGTGCATAGGGTTGCCATGAGTCAAAACTGACACAATGACCCCTAACAACAGCAACAACATTACATAACATAAAAATTAACCATTTTAGAGTCTACAAGTATAATTTAGATGTCCAACATCTATCTAGTTCCAGATCCTTTTTCAATTACCCTATAGGGAAACACTATACCAGACACCAAGGTCAATTGGCATAACATAGTCCAAAAAGCCAACATTCTACATCCTACTTTGGTGGGTATTGATTGGAATCTTAAAAGCTTGTGAGCAACTATTAGTCTCATCTCATCTGGAGCAAAGAACAATTAGTCCAGGGGCCTAACTGACCATGTGAACATCAATCTCCATGACCCCGAGCCCAGAAGAACTAGATGGTGCCTGGATGTCATTACCAACTGTTTGTAAAGGGATCATATTAAAAGGTCTTGGATAGAGTAGGAGAAAACTGTGGAGCCAAACTCTCAAAATCATAAAAACAAAAAACAAACAGGTTTACTGGTCGAATGAAGTCTGGTAGAAGTCCCAAGACTATATAGCCTTTAGTCATGCTTCAAGTCTGAAATTGAACTCACCCCCAGTAGCTCAAATGTCAGCTAAACAACAGACTGGTCTATAAGGGGAACACTAACACTAGTGAGGCACCTGTTAGGGACAACAGGCCGGCCTAGCGGCACCCCGACACCCGGCACTTGAATCAATAATTCCAGGAAACTGAGCCCAGCATACTTTCTGAGAAATAGAGCAGTGTTAGATCACCAAAAAAGGTGCAAATGAAGAGTATGTGCTTCTTGGTAGCATACTGGTTATAAATCGGGCTGTTAACCTCAAGGTCAGCAGTTCAAAGCTACCAGCTGTTCTGCGGGAGACCGATGAGGCTTTCTGCTCCTGTAAAGATTTGCAGCTTCAGAAACCCTGTGCAGGGTCGCTATGAGTTGGAACCGACTCCACGGTACTTAACAACAACAATCCCTACCACTAATAAGAATCAAACTTGAGGGGGATGAGCCAAAAACCCTACAAAGGAGAGAGAGCAGAAAGCCAGTGATCTCTAGATGTCCACTTCTCCTCTTCTGAGAAGTGTACTATTCATAGCTTAATAAACCTTGCTGGCTACTTGCTGTTTTTGTCTCTGTGTATTGTTTGCACCAACGTCAAGTGGATGTTGCTTTGTTGTTGTTGTTAAGTGCCATCGAGTCGTTCTGCACAACAGAATGCAACAGTGCCCGATCCTGGGCCAACCTATCATTGCCACGTTGAGTCCATCGATGCTGCCACTTTGCCAATCCATCTCGCTGGGGTCTTCCTCTTTTTCTCTGATCCTCCACCTTACCAAACATGATATCCTTCTCCAGCGACTGGTCCCTCCTGACAGTATGTCCAAAATATGAAAGACGAAGAGACGAAGTTTGGCCATCCTGGCCTCCAAGGAGCACTCTGGCTGCACTTCTTCCAACACAGATCTGTTGGTTCTTTTGGCAGTTCATGGCACTTTTAATATTCCTGCAGAAGTCAAGTTACTGCACCCTAACAGTACCACTCCTTAAAATAATCAACCATTTGAGAAAAAAAAAAAAAAAAAAAAACACATTTCCCCAAACACTGTGTTCAGAAGGGTTAGGAGACGAAGGAGTGGAAACCGAAACAGAGGGCAGAAGTGGGATGTTACTTTGTGAGGATCGCAACCAATGAAAAGGAAACAGAATGTGTACGAACAGTTGAATGGAAAACTGACTTGCTTTCTGAACCTTCACCTCCATTTCGCAATATAAAGTGCTTTTAGGGTAAGCACTCGACCACATCAGGGGAAACAGGTTCAGACAGGGCCAAGAAGACTAGTACGGGGCTGGAGGTGAGGAGGGTTCTCTGAGCCCCTGCCTGGTCTCTTCCCCTCCTTGGACAGTAGGGTATTGGCCCAGATATCTCTTGGGGCCTAGACCCATTATCCCTTCGCTTTGGGTCTCTTGCTGCCTCCCAGGGTCTTGTGAAGTCCACTGTAACTGCCCCCTCCCCCAAAAGTTCCTTTATCTCCTGTGTCATTGGAAACACCACGTCTGTCCCTGCGGTCTCTGGCCCTGGTAGGGGTGCAGAGAGCACTTCCTGGATCTGCCTCCACAAGCCTGCTGCGTTGCGACCTGAGGCCGCCAGGGGTCGCCCGCGTCCCGGAAGGGGGTGGACCTGGGCGGGGCCTGGAAGCCGGCCCGGCCAATAAAGGCCACGGCTCGCAACCGCCCCAGACCTAGCCTTCTGCGCGCCAGCTATTCTAGTTGCCGTCTTCTCTCTGCTCGCTGCCTGTCCCTCGCCCCGGCCCGCGCCCGCGATGCTGGCGCTGCGCTGCAGCCCTCGCCTACTCGGCCTGCTCTCCGTCCCACGCCTCTCGCCGCTGTGCCAGCCCGCTGCCCGCGCCTGCAGCAGCAATGCCCGCGCTCAGTCCTCGTCCTCCGGAAACCCGCTCGTGTACCTGGAGGTGGGCGCCGACGGTCAGCCGCTCGGCCGCGTGGTGCTGGAGGTGAGACCACTGGACCCGAGAAGGCTGCTCGGCCGTGGGAAATGGTCCCAGGAAAGCCCGGTGCCCGGTTCACTGGGTGACCTTGGGCGTCAGTGTCCCTGTTTCTAAGAAAGGGCATCGGGTTGATCTCTACCGACCTCCCTGCAAGTTTGGATTAATGGAGGCGGGACTGGGGGGGCGGAGGGGGAGGTGGCCAGGCACGTGTTAGAGGGGAAAGCTCAAGGTCAGACCGCAGCCTGAACAACTCCACGGCCCGCCCCCCGGCTTCAGGCTTCTAGAACCCTCCGGGTGCGAATCTAGACTTGAAGCCCGGTGATTGGGACCCGAGGCGTTGGGGGTCCCCTCTGCTCGTTAGAGACGACCCTTGCACAATGCAGCCCCAGCTCAACCCCCGGGCTCCCACGTTTGCCGCCTCAGGAAACCGACAGGCGGTTTCGGTTAGGCAGGCCTTTCCAGCCATCCAAGGTGAACCGGGATCGCCCTCTTGTGAGATGGCGCAGTGTCCCGTGAGACCACCATCCCCAGCCCCTGTTCTGTGGGGAGACACCTAGCACCTGCCCGACTCTTTGAACCCATTTTCAAACAAGCTGTAGTTGTTAATTACCACACTATGGAAGGTGACAGCCGTGAAGACAGAGGTAGTTGGCAGGGGGACGGGGTGGGGCGGCCGGGGTCAGAGAGCAGTTGTATTGGAAGGGTCCGTTGTGACGATGTAGGATAAGCACTGGACTGCAAGATTGGCGGTTCAAACCTACCAGCTGTTTCTCGGAAACCCAATTACAGGGCACTTAGTAACAAATGTTGAACGGCCTGTTTCCCAAGCAGCCCTTTGTATTTTTTGTTAAGCTTCAGTTTCTGGGCGATAAGTAGAGCACTCTGTTCCCATGGTTTGGCGCATGGGTGGCTCAGGGAGACACGAGGCAGGCTACAAGGAAATGCCTGATTGTCCATTACTTGCTGGCTGCTTCCTTGGACATCTGCTCCCAGCCTGCTTCCCAGCTATCTGCTGAGGAACCTAGACTAGGCCCTCTCTCCAGGCTCTACGCCCACCTGTGCTATCTCTGTGGGTTCTTCCCTTGGAAGTGGGCCAAGATGGCTTCATCATCATTTCTGATAGATGAGGAAACTGAGGCTGCTGCCTCCCAACCTGGAACTCAGGAAACAGCTGCCAGAAATGATAGCTGCCGCACTGCCCACACAGGCTAGGAGGAACTAGCATGGGATGGCCGCAGGCATTTACCAGGCCGTCTTGCTTTTCTGGAGTCCTGGTGTGGCATTGTAGGAGAAACACTGGACTGCAAGGTCAGTTTGAACCGCAAAGTTGGCAGTTCAAACTCACCAGCTGCTCCTGGGAAACCTTATACAGGGTCGCTGTGAATGGTAACTGGCTCCACAGCATGTAGCTTGCTTCTCTGGGGGCTGGGTGATGGGAGGTTCCTTTCTTCATCTGCCTGTGGGTTGACCATCTTCTCTTGTCCCTCTTCTCTCTCCATAGCTAAAGGCAGATGTTGTGCCAAAAACCGCAGGTAAGATAGGTCATGGGCCTTTTCAGTCTGGTCCAGGTGGAAGGGGGAGCGGGTGACTGCTGAGAGGGGCAAGGGCACTGGAGACTGGTGGCCGGAGGAGGTTCAGCTTCCACGTGGGGCTCTGGGACAACCTTGTCCCTCTCTGGAGCCCAGTTTTGACGCTGCCCACCTGTCTGGTAGTAGTTGGAAGAGTCTGAACAAGTTGAAGAGACCATGTAAATTCCCTTGCCATATGGGGGATGGTGGTGGCTAGGCACCCCTTTGATGCCCTGCCTCAGTGACCGGATACTGTAAGAGCCAGGGGCACCCTCAGCAGCGTACTTAGGACACTGAGGTCAGAGGAGGGAAGTGACCCGCCCCATGTGACACAGCGAGTCAGGCAGAGCAGACACACATGTGGGAATGTTGGGGTTAGCGGTGGTGCTGGCCGGAACCTGCCATGTTCATCTGCTTCGTTCTTCATCCCACAGAAAACTTCAGAGCCCTGTGTACTGGCGAGAAGGGTTTTGGCTACAAAGGCTCGACCTTCCACAGGGTGATCCCATCCTTCATGTGCCAGGTAACATGACCCTCACTTGCTGCCTCAGTTTCCTCTCTTGTAAATGTGGATGATAACAGTGTTCACTTCACAGGGTTGTTGGGAAGATTCCGTGAGTGAACTTGGGCAGCTGTGGTTACTCTTGCCGGCTTGTCCTCTCACCTTTAGGGACTGTGATGTGTGTGGGCTGCTGTGGCCCTTTTGTGCCTCAGAAGTTAAGCAAAGGGCAGGTGGCAGGGTTGGGTTGGCATGGTTGAGTTGGTGAGGGAGGAGGTGTGTGCATACAGGGGTGGACCTTAAGGCTCTGAAGGATCAGCATGTGCAGACAGCCGTAGGGGCCTTAGAACACACATGTCCTAACTTGAATGTCTCTCTGCAGAAAGGCTAGGTTGGGAAAGGGCATTTTTCTCTGCTAAGTGTGGTGGTTTTGTGGCCCCGAACCTTGTTTTTCAGAAATACTGGCACTACTGTAACAGTGATTTCACACAGGTGTTGATAGCAAATAACAGTAACCGCCCAGGGAGTAGAGTCAGAGAGATGTTGTTAAGTGCTGTCAGGAGGGTTCAGACTCACAGCGTCCCCATGTAGGGTTTCCAAGGAACCACTGCCGGATTTGAACTGGCAACCGTGGAGTGAACCGTCTAGTGCTTATCCTACAGCACCACAGAGAACTCCAGAGTGATGATGTTGTTGTTGTTAAGTGCATCGAGTCGGTTCTGACCCATAGAGACCCTGAATAGGGTTTCCGAGGAGCCGCTGGTGAGCTTGAACCACCGACCTTGCAGTTCAAATGGCTTTGCCGTCTGGCGCAGCCACACCAGGGTAGGGTCCTGCTATTATGGCAGGCTCTTCCAGGTCAGGGGGTTGTGTCCTGGGCCCAGTGAAACCTCAAGGCAGGGACATGGATGCCATGACCTCTTTGCAGTCTTTGAGCCTGGAATTTTCTTCCCCCTTCCTGCCACTGTGAGCTGGGGCTGGGCTGCCTGGATGGGGTGACGTGGAGGAGGCAGTGGGGTGGGCCTTTCATGTAAGACAGACCTGGCCAAGCCCCGCTCAGCCTAAGACTGCTGGGTGGTGCAGACTGACATCCTGGTTCGGACGAGGGTCTTCCTGTGAGCACTAACAGCTGGAAGGCTGTATGTGGCATGAGGTGGTTGGTAGTGTGGGAGGCCCAGGCCAGAGTCCTGAGCCATCCCAGTCTGGTGAAACCTCACTGGCGTCTGTGGAGGCCTCGCTGAGCTAGGATTTCAGATCACCTTCCCAAGGCTCCTGTCTCAGGAAAATGGCCTGGGGGCTGGGCAGCCCTGGGCTCTAGGGCCAGGGCCAGCTATCTGGGCCTTAGGTGAGCCCCTGAGGAAGGAGGCCCCAGGGAAACCATGGGCGTGGTGAAGAGGCTTAGAGAGGTGCCAGGGCTGACTTCACTGGAGCTGGTGTTCCCTACAGACCAGCTCAGAAATGGGAACACCTGTTCACCTGGTTTCACCCCCACCCCCACCCCTGACCCCCAGAGCTGTGGATCAACAACTCTGTTTCAGAATGGCCTCTGGGCCTTTCAAGGATCATCTGAACACTTGCTGCGACCTTAAATATTAAATGAGTCATTTAGGAACCAGGGTAATTATTATGACAGGAAATAATTAAGCTACATTTTCTTTTCTCTTACTTTACTAGTCCTCGTTTCATTGGATTTTTATTGACTCCTTTGCCTGAGGGCTTCTGGCTGATGGGCCTGGGGATGGGTTGGGAGCAGCTCTCTGGTGGCCACTTATAAGGTGTTCTCTGCTCCCCAGGCAGGTGACTTCACGAACCACAATGGCACAGGTGGGAAGTCTATCTATGGGAGCCGCTTTCCTGATGAGAACTTCACGCTAAAGCACGTGGGACCTGGTGAGTACCTCCCCACTGCTCTGACCCAGCCTGGAAGCTGCCAGCCCCGCCCACCTGCCCTGGGAGGCTGCAGCCCTGTCATTGGTCAGTAGTTGAGGATGTGGCCTTGTTTCCCCGGCTGAATAACCAAGCAGCTGTTCAGCACTAGCATTACTACTTTGTGTTTCCTGAATTGAATTTGCCATGTAAAGATCTGTCCTTTGGGGACTTGAGGGAGAGAGCCTGAAAGCAAACCCTGATACTGTTATATCTTTAACTCCCAAGGTGGAAGGTAGAAAAGTCTGGAGGTCTGAGACCTGGCCCATTGTGACCTGGTGAGCTCAGCACTGTTTTTTTGTTTTTAAGGTTTTTATAGTGGATTGAGTAAAAGTTTACAGGGCAGATCATCAGTTTTACATTCAACAAGTCATACACCTTGTTTCATTATAATGATTATAAATGCTCTCCATGTACCATCAGTTACCAGTGTTTCTCTCTATTCATTTTAGCTTTTTTTTTTTTTTAAACACTGAGGCATATATAATAATTTACACCACCAAAGGCACATTCTGCAAGTTTGTCTCCTGGTTGCCAGCTCTCATTCCCTCTCTTCCCATGAATCTAGAGTCCTCAGTTGCTCCCTCCCTCCATGTCCCCATCTCTGCCTCCATCTCTGGTGTCGCTGCTTCTCTGGATAAGGTCTCGCATTCCATGTGTGCTCTTCTCCCTTGATGGTCCTAGAATCCTCTGTTTCTGGACTATAAGATTTTTGTTATTTTTTTAAATGTTTTATTGTGAATTATGTGATAGTTTACATGGGAGAACATTAGCTTTACATTCATCCTATCATATGTTGTTTCATTGCCATGGTTACAGTCCCCTCCATGCATCATCAAACAACCAAAGGGTATACCCTGCAAGCCTGCTCCCCTGTTGTCAGCACACAGTCCCTCTCTCTCTCTGTGTCTAAAGTCTCCACCTGCTCCATCTCTCCACGTCATCATCTCTGCCTCCATCTCAGGCATCACTGCTTCTCTGGGTAGGGTCTTTCTCTCCTCTCTTCTGCCTTCATGGTCCCAGAGATCTCCGTTCCTAGACTGAAAAGTTAATCACTCCCCCTCCGTGCTACAAAATGTCTACCTTTACATTTCCAACCCTCACAATCAGTCCTGATAACAATTATTTACTGTTGTATCACAAGAGACCTATCCACATATCATTTCATCAGCCCCTCCTAGACAGATTGGATACTACTCAGTGGAGATTCTATCTTACTCCACGCCCTCTGGATCTAGATTCCCTCTAGAAAGCTTGTAAGCCAGTCACTTCTTGCCTTTGTAGCCCCCCATTTGGGTAGCCAATGTTTGAGTTGCCCATCCCTGTCTACTCTATATATGGAGGGGGTGGAAATGATTCTTGCTGTAAAGATTTGTTCCCTCTTTTGAGCTACTGCATCCATAGGTGTAGGTCAAGTTCATCAAATTGTATCAGATTACTCTTTTTTTTCCTTTTCTTTCTTCTTCTAATTGAGCTCTAATCATCCAGTCATTGAAGCCAGGTCAAGTGGATATTATCTGCAAGTGTGGGTGTTCTTGTGCATATCCCCTCTCTTCTTATCAGCTGGACACTTCACTCTCCACTCTAGTCCTCTG